CACATTGCAGAGTATTTAAAAAAAGAAACGAGAAGTAATATAAATCTAAAGTTAAACAGAGTCCAAAGAGAAACAGACAAAACAAAACAAGGAACCAGGATGAATGGAGAACATGCAGAATAACTCATAGCTGCACATGAGGAATGAACTGACACTTGCACAAAGAGGAACAGAGGGTTACATAATATGTACAAACAGAGGGCTGACTTTAATAATATAAAATAACTTTTATTAGTCCCACAGTTGGGAAATTCACAGGGCACATAGGCAGGGAACACACATTAAGTAATATTTAACACTATTAATAATTGTGTTAGTAATTAACGAACATTAGACAAAAGAGGGATGTGAAGCCACCAAAGAGCATCACAGCTTCTTCCCAAACCAAAAAACCCAAAAACAAACAAACAAGAAAACAAATTTAAACAGAATAGCACACACAAAAACTGGACTTCTACAGAATACAAATGTGTGTGATGTTAGACTTGAGGAACTGCATAGTATTCAGTATGACAAAGAAATTCTTCAGAAGGGATATCAAGCCTCAATGCTGTTAAGTCCTACAGATTCCAGTTTGCCAGAACAGCTATAGTACTAATGAGCATACATTATTCAGTACATAAATAGTTAATTTATGGCTAAAACACTGACATCACTGTAAACTGTTTCTCCCTCTGTCACTTTTTCGTTCCTTCGCTCTACTTTGCCATTTTTCCTCCTGTTGAAAGTTGGTACAGTATAAACCACGAGGTCCTCTTCTGTCTGAGGAAATAGATGAAGTTTATGATGAGATGGGAATGTTAATTATAAACAAGTAGCTAAAACATTAAACCATTTTAATTTTTTCAGCTTTACCTGCTGACCTTCTTGATCACCATCACTGCCTGTTTGGAAGACAGAGACGTTTAACATGAAAGATGCTGTAGGCTGATTACAAAACAAACAAACAAATAAATAAATAATGTCTATTACCATTCCAACAATACAAGCGATTTTCTCCTTGAATGTATAGATGAGGAAACCTATAACATCAGACTTGTAACCAAAGCAGCACATAACAGAAAGAGAGCTGTGTTGGCCGTCTGCAAATCCCACATGTGCAGTGCTGTAAAAAATAATCACCCATATTATTTTGGTAACATTGTCAATTAAAACAAATATATTTTATTGATCACATGGTATGTTGTCAGAAGTGTAAATTTACCTTTAATGTCCAGTTTTGATTCATTTCCAAACATGACTGCCCATATGGCCAGCAAGTAGTAAGGCCCAGGATCGAGAGCGAGCTGGAAGCTAGACACATTAGTTGTGAAGACTTAGGACATCATACCATGTTTCCTGAATTAATGGGTTTCTGATCCAGCTTGAACCAGTACAACGGGACTGAACGTTTTCTTCTCATACTTAGAGAGACATGAACACTGCAGAGTCTCTTGGTCTGAATGATACCGATCCGGATAGATCGTATTTGTATGAATCAGGTTCTGGACCTTTTAAGCCCTCAACACACACGCATTAAAACATAAATTAAAATAAATAACTTTTATTTCAGATTTGGCCAATTTGAAAAAAAGCTGAAAACATTTTAAAAATTTCTAAACTCATTAAAAGCAAACATTAGGACTTTTTTTTTTTTTTACCTTTGATGGTCAGGAAATGTTCCTCCAAAAAACGTCCACTAGTAGACACTCTCTCTATTTGTAAATTTACCTAAATCTTCCACTGTGTGTACAGATATACAGATTGAAGTCTCAGCTCGTTTATTTACGTTCTCCTATGATTCACATCACATTGCTCTATCACTACATACATTGGTACATATGTTTCAATTACACCAGAAGCTTCCAGGTCAGTTTGTTTATGTTGCACTGTGAGAGTGGTGCTCTGAAGTGAGAGTAGAGGATGGAGAGTGTAACCACAACCACCTCCTCAGCTCTGTATACTAGTGCATCTCTTCCTGCTTAAGTAACGGACAAGCAGGCTGGGTTTGTCATCACCGTTCTTTGCACAATGACAACGTTCAAGTGACAGTAAAGTTGAAAATGTAATCTTAATATCGTGGTCAAGTGCATTATAAAACAGCAAAAATTGTAAAGCATTCAGGCAGGGGAGATTAAGCTTGTTATACAGTAAAATCTCTGTGTTCTGTACTTCTTTGTCTCCCCTGTCATGTCTTCTTGTCTCAGTGTCAAGTCCATGTCTCTGGGCCAGTCTCATGTTTCCTGTTTACCTTTTATAGTCTCATATCTTATGTTCGTTTATTCAGTTTTGCTTCCTCCACATCTCATTGTGTTTGATTTCTCCCAGCTGTGTTCCCCATGTGTTTCTCCTTCCCTTGTTACTCCTCTGTGTATTTAAGCCTGTGTTTCCCTCTGCTCGTTGTCGTGTCATCCCATGTGCTTCTTTAATTGCCTTTGGTAACCTAAATCTTAGTAGTTGCTGCTTATAATTGGAATGTGCTCAATAGAATAACGGAGAGGATCCCCTACTAAAAATCGGGTTAGGATTATTTTCTGTCTCATTGTTATTATACACATATTGCTGTTGAGTGGTTTAAAAATCTGATTATTTTTGTAGACTAGAGAAACAGATTTTCCAAACATTTATGTGTTAACTATTTACAAGTTTTTACTAAGATAATATAACAATGCAGTTTAAAAATATTGTCTGAGTTATCGGTATCAGTCCCCGTCCCTCGTTTCCCGTGTGCGAGCTGGTGTGTGTGTGTGTGGGGGGGGTACGGCGGTTTTATGGAGACGTCAGGTTCAGGGAGTTTCCCACTGCCAAGCCAGCCACACCTGAAAGTTACTGACACTTAGCTGTTGCCAATCAACCCCATGTGAAGAGTTATTTAACAGCTGAGCTGAGCTTCAGTCGAAGCTGGATCGTTGAGAGTCATCAACAAGTGTATGACAGAGTTTCAGAGTGGAGTTGGCAGGTACTCATCGTTTGCTTGTTTATTTTACAGGCACAAGTGGAGGGAGTTGAGCACTTTTGTACATAAACACCACTCACCATGGACACAGTAGAAGTCACAGCAGGGGAACGGAGAGTGAGCACGAAAGGCGAAAAGGAACTCACACATAGAGGACTGTTGCACTTTCCGTCAGTGTTGTTTCACTGTAAATAAAATCACTAATTCTGCAGAAAGAGTCCTGGGTTTGGGTCCTGTATCCACACCACCACACTTGACAAGATGGCTATATCCACTGTCATGCCACCTATTGGTTTGTGAGTTTACTGCTCACAAACCAATAGACTGGAGAGGTTGCCAGTCTTTTACATGGGTGACAGAGGGACAGACAACCACTCATTATCACACTGACACGTGTTACTGAATTTAGAATGACCAATTAACCTAACACCATTCATGTCTTTGGATTGGAGGATGAAGCAAGAGTATCCAGAGAGGGCATGCAGATATAGGCCCCAACCTATATTTGAAACCCAAAACCTATTTCATGTCAGGCAGAAGTACTAATCACCAAAGTACCATGCTGTCCAACATCTGAAGACTTTAGACTAATTAGAAAGATGGAGTTATGTGATCTAATAAGATTAATAAAAAAAGATCTATGCATTTGTTTTCATATTTTCACAGAATTACAAAGAATACAGTCTAGCTGTGGGACTTCACAAAAAGAATAATTTGTGCAATATGTGATTGACTAATTGTAAAGTAAGCAACCTCTGACATCTGTATGAATAAATGCATATAAAATCTTTGCTTGTGTCTTCAGCGCACAGTAACTCAGGTAACATAAAAAACAAAACTTTCTGAGGGGTTTTAAGTATAAAATGCTCTGTTTAACCCTTTAGAGCCGATCGGAGCGGACACGCTCTGTTTTGCGTAACTATTTTTAAATCCCGGTAGCTCTGCAACCACGTAAGCTAGCGCAAAAATTTTTTTTGCATATGAAACCGGAGGAGTTGTACTTACATCTTATGCCATCAGCTTGTCCTAGGTCACGGTTTCCTTCCACATAAAGCTTTGCAAAAACTGCATAAAAAGCGCTTGCAGGAACAAAAACATAATATTCCAGAAACACGCTTTGCCGATCCGATCAGCTGTTCATAACACTTCCTACGTTGGAATAGACGTCAGCGCGAACTTTTGCATTTCCGCCATTACCTGCCCGAAACCGGAAGTGACGTCATTTTCGCGGAAATGTAGTCTTTTTTACGATCAGGGCCTCAGGGCATATACTGGTCTTTTTAAAAGTTATCTTTGACTTTATGACTTTCTGTGTCGTTTCTGGGATGCTTAGGACTCATATTGCACTGCTGGAAATAGTTTATTTTGATGCATATGCTGCTTTTTTGCAAATTTGCAGTATAATATTTATTTTCGTTTTTCCTGCAGTATATAAAAATTGGTGTATTTCAAAAATAAAACTATGAAGACACTCAAAATAAATTTCCTGTGGTGGGAAACTATTTTGTGCAACTTTTTTGTATTTACAGTTTTGAGGGATAAGCCTCTTAAATTTCTCTAACTACAAATATATGTTAAAAAAGCAAAAACGATTTTCAATTTTTTTGTAGTTTATTGCACTTTTTTGCAATTTATGTAATTACTATGCACTTAATGAATACATATTATTAAAATCTGGGCTATAATGGTTGTATTGATGTATAGCAACTTGAAATGCTCCCAAAAATGGCTCCACAGCATGTAAAAATATAATATAAGCTCTGGCGGACTTGGTTCTATGGTAGGTCTTAAAGGGTTAAATCCAGCATCTAACTTGGTTTTACTGGCTAAAGCTAACCAAGCAGAAATTGAACAATGATGAAACACAACATTCAATAGAAAATGAATTAGATTATAATTTAAATGAGGAATGAGGAACATTTAATTTGCTCTTCAAATACCTGGATGCAACCAATGTAAGAGGGAGAGCTCTTGAATCTGTATTCAGAGATAACCAATCAGATCTATTTGAAGGGTGACATAAAGGCCCCATGTTTCAATGCCTCCCACAGTCAGTCAAGCACCTAAGTCCATAACACAAGGCCTTTACAAGATGATCAGATTATGGATTGCACTGCTCTTTGTTAATCGAGGATGTAAGTGTTTATGCAAATTTTTTCCACACATGTAAGCTGTTTCCTGCATTGCTTTGTCTGACTTTAAGATTTTCGTTTTCTATTTAGCTGCACTCGTTCCAGTAACTACAGCTCACCTCGGGGGACCTGTAACCTTCACATGTGTTCTACCCAAGACTGAGACTGGCCGCAGAGACATCCACTGGCATAAGCAGAGTCTTGGAGACACTCTGAAAATAATATGGACACTAAAGGAATCTGCAACACCTAGGTTTGCACCTGAATTTGATAACTCAAGATGGGAGGCTTATTATGATAAAAATGTTAGCAACCTGACGATTTTGAGAACAAATCAAGAGGATGAGGGAATCTATCACTGTGGGTTCACAGAGTGGCTCCAAGATACTACATGGACGGGGACATATTTGTTAGTAAAAGGTAATAATGTGATTTCCTTTCATGCAATTTTAAGATGTTATAAATGAATTTTATAAATGTTAAGAAATGTTATCTCTAAGCAAGACATCATCTATTTTGCTCAAATTTCTGTATAACTCCAAATGCATCTAAATATATTCATTGTAATCATCAGACTGAATGTTACAGCTAAAGTTATATTTGAAATATATATATACAAATTTTCTTTGTAGTATCATTTGTTAATGCGGTTTCATATTCCAAAGGAAACACCCAGAGGATATCAAACTATACCGTTGTTCAGGAGAAGACCATCCGTCTAGGAGACTCAGTGACTCTCCAATGTTCAGTTCTCTCCAGCTCAGTTAATAAGACATGTCCAGGGGGTCTTGAGGTATTCTGGTTCAAAGAAGGATCACATAGATCTCATCCTAGTATTATCTATACTGATGGAAACGGACATCATGAATGTGAGAAGAGATCAGAGACTGAAAAGAGCTGTGCGTATCACTTCTCTAAGAACGTCAGCTCCTCTGATGCTGGGACTTACCACTGTGCTGTGGCCACATGTGGGGAGATATTGTATGGAAAAGGAACTAAACTGGACATTCAAGGTACAAGTTTCTCTATCAGCTTCTCTTTCTGTCTATTGTTTAGAAAATCAGAAAAATAAGTGATTGTGTAACTTTAATTTTGTCATATATTTATTTTTAATATTGTCCCAGGGTGCAGCGTGTGGTCACAGAGTGCCACTACAGTTATTTTTCTGCTGTGTCCTGTACTGGTTCTGATTGTTATTGCTGTCCTCGCTTACACAATCAAGAAAACCAACAGTAATTATTGCAAAGGTAGTTGGAGTTATTCAGAGTTCTAGATGTTATGAATCTTACATTTGCATTAATTACTTATATGTCCTATATTCAAGCTGCTGTCCTGGAGAAAAACTTTGGTGATTTGAAAAGCCAACAGGTAAAGTACCTAATGGTAGAGTGTGTTAGATTTTCAAGTTTTAATGTTTATAATATTTTTGTATTGTATTTTCCCAGAAAAAGGACACATTGATGTTTTCTGCTGTTGTGTTTACGATGATGAAGGCTGACAAATACAAAAGACAGGATGCAGTGAAGCGGCAGCAGATCTACATGGCTGTCAAGGCTTTTGGACTGGATTAGATCTGTTTACCACCCCATCATCCCTTTATGTCATATAACATTGTGGATATTTGCTTAAAGCGAATGAGCTATAATGTGTTGTTGTTCTATACCTCTATCTATAAAAATGTGACCGCATGCATACTGCAACATTTCTAGTGCAGTCTTATGATGAGTTTTTATTTCTTTTTTCTCATTTCATTTAAGTCTATATTGAAACCAGTACTTAAGAAATCAGTGCAAAACAGACATTACTGAAGCTGATTACACCATGACTGAAAAGTCAAAGTAGTTAAAGTGCATACCACATGGATGCTCGCATCATTCCCCTGCTGTCTTCCCATTCTGTTAAAAAGTGACTGGAAAAGGCAAGTTCAACTGGAAAACCTGATATGTTTGAATTTATGTCATTAACATCAGGTAAAGTGAAACTAGTGCAAAGTTTTAATGTTATGCTTTTCTTTAACAATATATTCCAACATTTTTCAACAGATTTTGAAAAATGTAAGATTTTTTTTAGCCAGTAGTGCTGGCTTTAATTATCTCTTTGAATTGTTCTTTTTCCAGGGTGAAATGATTGTGCAGCATGGATTTTTAATGACTTTCAAAAGCAAAAATTGGGTGCAGAAATTTGATTTTTTTTTTAAGATTTAGATGGTAGTCTTTTGAAACTCTCTGCTTTCCTGGCACGGACCCAGCTTTTAAGCATAGTCCTCAGAGGGCCCGGTGGCGCCAGTGTCCGGCAGTCTCGCCTCTGAGAGTGCACTCCAGGGTGGCTGTGGTTACAATGTAGCTTGCTATCACCAGTGGGTGAATGACTGGATGTGTAAAGTGCTTTGGGGTCCGTAGGGACTAGTAAAGCGCTATATAAATACAGGCCATTTACCACCCCCCACCCGACCCTGTGGCTTGTCACATGTTCCATAATGTTGTGCTGTGGACATTTATGTACTTTTTTGTGCAGAGGAGTTTTTTTGTTTTCTGTTCTCATGCTGTCCTCCCAGGAGCCCAGCATGAGTAGAAGTCTCTTTTTTCCTCTTGTACTTTCCCATTGTAGTGTATATTTCAGTGGGTTTTTTTTCTGTAACGCTACCGATCTCCGACCTGTATCCCCATGTGATGTCTGTGTTGTGTGTGTGTGGTCGGGGGGGTCCTATTTCACTGCAGGGCAACCTGCACGTGGCAAATAAAGCCTTGCTTGATTGATTCTTAAATATTTTTGTTTTATTACCTAAATCTTTCTACTGTGTGTACAAATATTTCAGTCTTGAATTTGAGATGCAGCATTTTATTTGCTTTTTGGGTTTTCTGTCACTTTGGCACATATATCTCTGTTGAGGAAGAAGCTTTCAGGTCAGTGTGTTTATGTGACACCTCCAGATCGGTGTGTGTTTTGTGACACAGTGAGAGTGGCGCTCTGAAGTAAGCGTAGAGGATAGAGAGTGTGACCACAACCATTACTGGTGCAACTGTATCTTACCGCTTAAATAACTGACAAGCAGACTGGGTGGGTTGTCTCTGATAATGTAGAGTTTGTAACTGTCCTTTGTAAGGAAAAAGATCAAATGACAAGATTTCGAGTCTTTTAATATTTTGATCAAGTGCAACAAAAAGCAGAAAACAACAGAAATGAAAAATGTCGCAAAGTATTTCAGGCAGACCAGTTTTAGGTTTTTGATACAGTAAATCCTACAATTACATAAAATGCAGTCCACTCATTACCTTTTTCTTTTTTAAATTTACCCTCTCCGTTGGTCTTCCAGTTCAGTTTGTTGTTGAAGTGGACATTCAGGTGAGGACTCCTCCCTGACATCAGCATCCTGTTCCAGGATGACAAGGGCTTTATAATAGTACTCTTCTCTTTCAAGTTGAACATTAATCCTTTGATTTTATCCCTGTGTAGAATTAGATGATTTCTTTCAAGGCACACCCCAAAATATTCCTCTAATGTTCGGCATTCCTCCACCTGGCTGTCAATTATACAGCACTGCAGGATTGTCTATAGGGAAAATGACCTAGAATTGTTTTGAAGTATGTAGAAGACAAACAAAAATGGAACCAACACTGAGTTTGTTGACCAATATATATATAAGATAATAAGAGAGTGCAAAATCACACCTTTTTCACAGCTGTTTTGGGTTTTTTTTTTTTGTGAAAACATACTAGGGGACAATCCGAGTTACGATTAGCTAGGTAACCCTCTCACATATCATTTACCACCCTCTCACATATCAATCAATGGCATTCTTCAATCTCATTGTAAGTACCTACTTGAATTTGCGAGAGATTAACATTAGACCCACTACCTTCATGTAACCAACAAATATTTCAGCTGCAGCCACCTGAAATGTTGAAATGCAAATTTTATAGATTTTTTATGGTCGCTGCTCTACATTGTCACCTGTCACTTCCTTTGGAAATGCTCCTTTAATCAGTTTTGGCACTCACAATCTTAGCAGTTGCTACTTATAACGTAAAACTTGGAGGTATACAGCCTTGCATGGAGCAAGCATAACATTATTAGAGCTTGACCTACAAAAAATCTGATCAATCAGCTATTTTTTTAAATCGCCTAAAAAAGGTTTCCCTAACATTTGGTAAATGTAGTTATTTGTGGGCCATATCACTGGATATCTGACACTTTGCTTTATTTTTTTGTTGTAAATAGAACAAAATGTTTGCTGGGGAAGATATGTCCATCTGTTTTCTTCCACTAAAACAATGAAAGTAAGGTGTAATCAGAGAGGACATGCAAAATCCACATAGAAAGGCCTCGGTCTCAATTCAAACCTAGAACCTTCTTGCTGTGAGGTAAAAGCACTGACTACCACATCACCATGCTGCCAGATAAAGGGACCTATAACTGCTATAAAAATAAATGCATTTGCTTTTTGATAGTGTAGTGCACAATAACTCAGCTAACATAAGAAACAGCTTTCTAAAACATTTTAGTGGTGTAAAATGGTCTGTTCAGATGCAGAACCTAACCTAGTTTTACTGCCTAAACCTAACCAGGCAGGAAGCGAAAATAAAAACATGTACTGGGTCAAAGCAAAGCTTTAAGATGTCCCCAGATAGGACTTGAATCCACTTACATACCTACCTTACCTTATAAACATTTTAAACATTTTAAAGTAGAAAGAAGCTCAAGAAGTCTATTTAGAAATTCTGAAATGAATTATTGCCAGAAGGTAGAAACAAATGACAAATTAATCATTGGAGAACTTGCTGGAAAAACTTTAAAAATGCCTTGTATTATACTTAAAATGAGTGACGAAATGGCTAAGCAACAGACGCTTTACTCCTCAAAGACCTGGATGAAACAAAGTGACAGGAAGTTCACTTCATTCTCTGATTCTGATCTATATATTCTGTGATAACCAATCAGCCAATCAGATCGGTGTAACAGTTTGACATAAAAGGTCCAAGTACCTCCTACAAACAGTGAAATACCTACAAGTCCATAACAAAAGACATGTCAAGATGATCGTGTTATGGGTTACGCTCCTTCTTCTCCATCAAGGATGTAAGTGCTTTTTCTGATTTGGTTTTGAATACATGCTGTTTGCTTGGTGGTTTTCCTGTGTCATTGTGAATTAATGTTTTAGATTTCTGTGTGTTTTCTATGAAATTAGACACACTTGTTCCAGTAACTTCAGTTCAACTTGGGGAAACTGTAACCATTCCATGTCAACTGCCTGTGATTGAGACCATTCGTAAAGAAGTCCACTGGTACAAGCAGCGTGCCGGGGACACCCTGAAAGTAATTTGGACAATGAGGGAATCTGTAACACCTGAGTTTGCGCCTGAGTTTAATAACTCCAGATTGAAGGTAAATCACAATAAACACTTTACCAACCTGACCATTTTGAAGACAAATCAAGAGGACGAGGGAATCTATCACTGTGGATTCACAGACTGGCGTAAGAATACTGAATGGACCGGGACGTATTTGTTAGTAAAAGGTAATGATGTGCGCTTCTTTCATGGGGTTTGCTTCAGTCAGCTTATTAAATGTCAAAAGCATGATAAGAAAACAGTTAATATACTCATACAAATGTATTTTAATTTACATTTAATTTGCTCCTAATTCATTTTAAAGACACATTTTATAGATGCGGTACATGAATCCTTCACAATGTGCTTTGTTAACACATTTTTATTAATCAGGAAACACCCAGAAAACATCAAACTACACTTTTGTTAAGGAGAAAGTCCATCCAGGAGACTCTGTGACTCTTCAGTGTTCAGTCCTCTCCAGCTCTAACAGAAAGACATGTCCAGGAGGTCACAATGTGTTCTGGTTCAGGGAAGCAAATACATCTCATCCTGGCATCATATACACCGCTGGAAACAGACATCATGAATGTGACAAAAGATCTGAGACTGAGCAGAGTTGTGTTTATCGCTTGTCTAAGAACATCAGCTCCTCTGATTCTGGGACTTACTACTGTGCTGTGGCCACATGTGGAGAAATATTATTTGGAAATGGAACAAAACTGGACAGTCGAGGTACCTGTGATCACATTAATGAATGATAATATTCTCCAGTCCAGAACATCAGTCTATAGTTTGAATATTAAATGTTGACTCACTTTGGTCTTACATTAACAGTAATCTAATCTGAAGGTGATATTAAACACAATTTAGTTTTTGTCCAACATAACTTGAGTTTTTACTTTTAATACTGTTTCAGAAACCAGAGTGTGGTCACAGACGGCCAGCAGCATAATTTTTCTACTGTGCACTGTCTTGGCTATAAGTCTGATTGTTATAGTTGCTCTCATTTGGATGATCAAGAAAAACAGTGATCACTGCAGAGGTAATTCAAATTGCATTGTTCTCTATGAAAAAGAACCACACAAATCTTACATTTATATTAATTGTTACCTGTATCTTCTATATTCAAGCTGATATCCAGAGGAAATGTTTTACTGATCAGAAGAAACAAGAGGTAAAGAACTTTTTGAGCTTTTTGTTTTTTCTAATATTTTGAGATTTCTAATACATTATATTTACTCTGTTTTCCCAGAATAAGGACACATGGATGTTTTCTGTTGTTGTTTTTACCACAATGAAAGCTGATGGATGCACAAAAAAGTATGCAAAACCTATGAAGAAGGAGCAGATCTACACAGCTGCCGAGGCTTTTGTCTTCGGTTAGGCATATTTACCAGTATTTGATATGAAATTACCTAATTGATGTTTGTTAGACATGGTAGGGTTTTTGCTGTTTTTCTATATATATATTAGAGTTTAAATGTGTTTTATAGTAAATGCATCTTGATGATGAAAATGTTTACTTCTGCATACAGCTATAGTAACAAAGTATACCCTCTTTAAATTCAATGGTCTTTGGTTTTATAGAGGTAGCAAACTTGCTAAAGATCAATTTCAGTACCTGCTTCTACTTTTCCTCCTATATCCTATGGAAGGATTCAAAGTCTGTTATTCTGCATTTTAGCTTAATTTTTGTAACATAAATATGATACAATGTAACATGTTTTGCCGTTCATCTGAAGTTGCATTTAGATCATTATGAAACCTGCTGAGGATGTTTTATATTTTTTTAATTTTTTATTATGTGTTGATATACACCTAAGAACTGAAAAGATTAACATTCCCATCGTGGTGTGATCATTTGTGGTCTGATTGTTGCTTTTCTCTTTAACAATATTCAAAGCGAACAGCTATTTTCATCTGTACAAAAGACAATGAAATGTGCAACAGTGAGCAGTTAAAAGGACGTTTTCTGCATCATTCATGCATCTTGTTGTAATGAAATATCCTTTCTTTTTTGTTCCATATAAGTGGTATAGTATGTTTGTAAGGGGACATTT